TCTTTAGTGAGCTTTGATATTTTTCTGGACCTTTAAGTAACTGGAGCAACTTGATTTATCAAGTGGACTTAATTGCTTTTTGGGTTTCTTACAGTATCAAGAAAGGTGTTAACCTGCACTGGCCTGGTTGTGAGCTGTGTGAAGTTGATATTGGCTCTCTTTTTCTGACTGTGAATCAGTTTATAGGTCTCTTTTCTTTTTCCTAAAAAAATTTTTAAGAAAAAGAAGTACAAAAAAGTTAGTAAAACAGTGTATACCTCTTTCCTTGATGTTTCTGTATTGCTTGTTGTATATGTGTTATAAATATTGGATAGCTTGGTTTAAAGGATATGTTGTTTTTCCTTGTATGTTTGAACTGATTCACTTTTTCCAAAAAAATTATCAAAAAAGAAAATTTTTGAAAAAAATGAGGATTAGCAGAAAGAGTTTTTCATGATATCAATCTTCTTCTTCCCCTTAATAGGGCTAGTTGATATATATAGTATGTAATATATTTACCATGTATAAATCATTATATGTATAATATTATTTTGTAGTAAATAAAATCCATAGAGAAGACCTGTGGATCAATAGCACAATAGTAGTGCTCCCAGGTTGCAATCATAAGGTCTGTAGTTCAATACTACTTAAGGACCAAAAATCAAAATTATCCTTCTGATTAGGTTTAATGGTTATCATGTAAAAGTCATATCCAAACATCCAGAATTTGCTTGAAACAGATTAGGCAGCATGAGGATAGGACTTCAGGCCTTCTATCAATCAAGGACTGAAACTTAAGGTCATATTACCAGAAGGATTGCACATTGTAAGGCTTCTAGTCTAGCCTCCCACATAAAGTCCCCAGTTCACTCTGCCCTGATAACCTCCAGAACCCTCACTCTCCTAGCTCAGAATATTCCAATCTAGTGTTTTGCTTAATTGAAAATCAGTTAATAAGGATTGATCCGATGTTACAGGTGTTGACAAAGAAGATAACATGTCCCCTTCTGAGGTCTGAGTGAATAATATCTGGGAATATTGGAGGGTGTATACATCCCATTGAGTATATATAACAGGTCTAGCTTAGTGTACACAATAAAAATAGTCATATGAGCCCCATACTAATTAGCCTAAGTATCGCCATTTATGACTGTGTATTAATTATCTGGCCACTAGCTAGGTGTGTCCACTTTCTCAGTGGTAGTAGATTTAGCTAGTATTGCCATAATAGGTTAGCATAAATCTGTATATGTAGAGATGTTTAATGTAATGATAGTAAAATTAAATTGCCAAATAAAGTCTTGCATCTAATACCAGTTGCGGTTTAACACTTTAAAAAAAATAATAAAACCTATAGAGAAAGTTCTGAAAGTAAGAAAAGCTAATGCTTTACTATCTCTTTTCTCATAGAAAAATAACACAGAGTTATTTGGTTGATATAGAAAGTTATCACGAACGTATTACATTCACTCTCTTTATCATTGATGTGGCTCTAGTAGTACTCTTTTTTTATCATTTCTGGGGAATTTTGCCTACCTCAGTTTGATCCTGAATTTTAAGTAGCACAAGGTTTCTCATTATTTGATTGGTTCAGTAGAATCACATCAGTATAAGAATATAAACAAGCCTTTATTGATCATTCTATATATTTGAATGCATTTCCTTGGCTTCATAAGAACCTGGGATCTATAATAAGTCAGATAGGTTCTGGCGTGGATGGATACAGGACATTGTTTCCTATCATATCTTTGGCTCTTATTAAGCAAGAGAAAAAAACGTACAGCTGTAGATCAGTTAACCCAACTTTTAGAATATAGAGGTCTAACAAATGTCTCTCGACTTTACTGCATTGGGATAAAAAGGGTTTGTAGTAAGGTAGAACGTATTATATTGGATCAACCTATATAGTTATATATATGTCACTATCTCAACTTTTTCTCTCATAGAGATAGAATCCCTCTCATCTTTAAAGATGTAAATCATTCAATCACATCAAAAGAAATTCTCTTCTACTAATCCATATATCAAATTGTCTATGTAAATGACTGTCTTAAAGAATTTCCCTTTCTTGTTTAGCAAGAGTAATTTGTTCCTATATATAGTTGGAACCTGACTAGAGAGTAATCTCACCAAAGGGATATGGAAGAGTTTCCCACAATATTGAGGCAATTTTAGATAAAGTTAAATTGAGTGGCACTGATACTTGACTTGAGAGTTGATAATACCTTCTAAAATAACCAACAAGCTAACACATAGATATTGCTGAGAGTTATCACAAAATAACACGAGATACTATATCAATATCACCACTTTAAGTGCATTAATGACAAGTACATTCAGTAGAAATATTAGATAATGTGAACTCAAGTAAAAGTTTCTTCTCTTATATAAGTTGTACAGTAATTTATTTATTAGTCCAAGTTTCTTTTTTTGAATTTATGAATAGTGGTAGTAATATTTGAAAACTAAGGAATATAGTATATCATTTATACTTCTCCTTTCCATATCACTAGTTCAGATCTTTGAACATATTTTCATTATTATTAATTATTTTTTCAGGAGATTTTTATATAGTTAATTTGTCCATTGGAATCCACTTTGTAAATATGATTATAGTTTTAGATATATCCTCCTGTTCTGTGTTTTTTTTACCTTTTCTAGAGAATAAAACACTAGAAATACCTCAAATATGCTAGCCTCTTGAAATTGTATCTGGCAAATAGCAGGAATCCTTATCAATATATTTTATTATCAAACTATAGATAGGTTTAAAGTTTATCTGAAGTATAGTCTCTTCGAATGAATGTACTTGTCTATTAAACTTCAATAAAATGTTTTGTCCTGTTTTTCAAAAAAAAAAAAAAAAATTATTTTTATTGTTTTTAAATATTATCTTATTATAATAAAGTTATTATAATATAGTACAAGGATAAGCTAGTGTTTAAAAAAAAATAGTAGTCAAAGAAAACAAATATTTAATCCAAGTCACACAAGTATAATGAACAAAAATTGATTTCAAGTATGTCGAAACTTTAAAAGTATTATTAAAGCTAGAGGTAAACATACTAAAAAATATATTTTTTTTTTATAAACATCGATTATCAATTGGAAGGGATATACAGTATACTATATATTAATAATTATAATACTGTACAGTATATACTGTATTAGTAATTAAAGTTTACATGATGATTTGATCATGTGATAAGATCTACTTTGGATGCTGCACAGGAAACACCACCCCTGTGATCTGAAATAGCCGAATCAGGCAAGTAATAACAGATAAATGAGAATGGTGCATAAACAAGGAACAATATATTATCCGATTTAAACAGCCCAGTGCTCTACTCTACCGAGTGTAATTGCATTAACGGTCGAGGATTGTTGTTGTTAGATTCAAGCAAAGCATTATACTGTAATTATATTATTATATTCTATCCGATTCGAATGTAATGATTCGTGCATATTGTAAATACCGTACATGTAAATCTCGCACTCGAGTTAGATTTATGATATACGTAATGATAAACCATGTTGATTTGAATGTTATAAAGAATTCCCTTGGATCCTGAAATTCGACTGGATCGTGGGATTCATCTAGCAAAATTTGATAGTAGAATAATAATTGAATGAAATTGAATCTGGAATCGCTTAATTTTGACAAATTATTTGATATGGTTTTTTGCCTTTAGTGATGACCTTTTTTAAACTAATGAGGTTGACATCTTCCGCTCGTACCACTTGAATCGTGTGTGTTTTTTCTTATGAGCTTATTAATCAAACTAGAGCTGTTATACAGATATGTAATCAGCAAGCTTGGTGACACCCGACGTTAAAAGAGTTGATTAAAAGATTTAAGAATGCCGTGGCGTGTTCCAAAAATAAGGAATTGACGAGAAAATGATCTCTCCTGACGAAGACATAATAACATCACAGTCTACATTGAAAGATGATTCATTAAAAATTGTAGGGGAATTCAATGAACTCGATCCCCTCTTATCGAAAAAACGTCATACTGCTGATAGCAATTTTCTACCATCGAGGACTTGGCATAAGACTCCATCGGCATATTGGCTACTACCTACATTTTTCGTAGTCGCCATTACGTTCGGGCTTGGAATTTCGCCAAAGGTTAAATTTTATGTGGATATCATTTGCGAAGATTATTATTCTTCAAAGCTGAAAAATCATGTTGGATCAGAATTTTCCGATGACAAATGCAATATTCCAGAAGTGCAAGCTGGTGTTTCTCAATTTATGATGATGTTGAGTCTTTGTAACGCCATACCAAGTATGTACCGTAAAATATTGCATATATGCTATATGCACTTGAAAATAAGACCGAAAAAAAGAAAAGAAAAGAAAAGAAAAAACCATTACGTGAATCGTTCATTATCATTGAAGGTAGTGATGCAGCTAATATCTATCTTCTAATGTTTTCTAGTAATTTTCGTGTTGGGACCGCTTGGATCCCTTTCGGACAGAATGGGGCGTCGTATAGTTCTCGTATTTGCAAGCGCCGGAATGATATTTATGAATATATGCATTGTACTAGTAGGAAATTTTGGGAATTATATTGGAAAAAATTTTTTGATGGTTGGCTGTTTGATAGACGGGTTCTCGGGTGGAGTTCTGTCATTTATCTCTGGCAGTTACGCTTATGCAACAGACTGTACTGCACCTACGCAAAAGTACGTATGCACGTTCATGTCTGAGTGGTGTTATTCCTGTATGCTCACTTTGAAATCCTTTGACTGTGTAGGAAGATAGTATTCGGATGGTTGCAAGGCACAGTGTCCGTATGCTCTTTTAAATTTTCTTTGGGTTCTATTATACATATATTTTTGCAATTGCCAATAGCATAATATTTTAAAATTTTCAGCATCATAGGTTTTTCATTAGGTCCTATGATAGCCGGATGGATGGTTGAGGCCACAAACAGCATCCTGTCAGTATTTTACGTAGCATCAATTATGTCTACCCTACTCTTTCTATTCATTCTATTCATCCTGCCCGAATCGATGCCACTTGATAAACGATTTGAAAATCAGAAACGATACCAGAATGAAATTTCCCAGAGAAAGAGTTACTCTTCATTTTGGTATTGTTTCAACGCGTTAAATATTTTTACATCGTTGTCAATTTTATTGCCTGATAATTCCAAAGGTGCCTCACGCGATATAGAAGGATTGGGAAAGGATAGAGCCTCATCGAGTTATGGAAAATATTCGCTTTTATTGTTTACGGGAATCGGCGTTTTACTCTTTGCAGCATTAATGGGCGTGCAACAGATATTTTTGCTTTATACCTCTTATGTATTTAAATGGTCGTTAATTGAACAAGGCTATGTCATCGTTTTTATCGGGTTTCTGAGGGCAGTTGTATTGCTTTTGATTTATCCTACAATTGTGAGGCTGTTCAAAAAGCGAAGTAAGAAAGAGGATAATATTAATAACAACGATGATGATAGAGATGTAGTGAGAAATTCATCACCCACGGTGTTAGATGAATTTAATGATAAAGAATTGATGAAAGAAATGTTATTTGAGATATGGATGATTAGAATTGGATTGGCTATTGATACCGTCTCCTATCTTTTCCGTGGATTAGCTGCTAGTTCAGAGATGTTTGTCACAGGTAATGATTTTGCAAGTTCAGTTTATCGGAAACTGTACTATTACTACGTTTTATATCTGATATGCGATGGCAAAAATGTTTACCGGATTCCTGAAATTAACGTGTTTGCTCCCATTATCCTCTTTTATACGTGACCTACTCCGCTAAAAGCCTATGCCTTTGGATGTCTGGGAGCAATATCGAGTCCATCGATCAGGTCTCTACTAACCGGATTGGTCCCACCATCGCAAGTAGGCCAATTATTGGGTGCAGTTGGCGTATTAGAATCCATTGTATCCATAATGTCACCGGCAATATTTAGCAGCATGTACAGCCTACTTGTGAGAACTTCGCCGCATCTAATTTGGTACTTGATCACATGTTTAACGACCATGGGAGTGGCGTTGGCATTCGTAGTTAAACCTAAGAACCGACAGCGAGAGTAATGGAAGAATCCGTATTTGTATTAAAAAGTTATTCGATTTCGTGTTATATACATATATTGCACAAGTTAAATTAATTACTGTAATATCAGGCGAAAAATAAAAAAATTATTTGTTTACCGTATTTATTAGTATCACCAATGACTGAGTTCGCGTAGCCTGCGTATGCCGGATAAACTACTGTATATCCCTCGAAATGAGGATGTGTATCATCTGGCGAATCTTTTATTCTTTAAAAGTCATTTAACCAAAGAACTAAAAGTTATCTTGTCGAATACATTTTTGTCGTTTTTACTGTCTTCGGTTGTTCATACGGCACATACCTTTGAGTCTGTCTAATTAACTAATCGCCGGTCTTGGATACGTGATTTGTACTGGTTTCTGTTTATATCATAGCCAATTTACGCATATTACTATATCTTTTTTTTTTTTTTTTTTTTTTTTTTTAAACGCTGGCTCAGCTTTACTTTGTTTGAAATATGGTAGGTATGTACATGAGATGCTATAACTACCTATACTTATCAAATATAGTTCGATAAAGGAACAGTCTTGTGACTGCACTTACCTTGCCACCTCATTTAGAGGGTGCCAACCTGCCAAGGTTGGGCTAGTGTTGTAAGAAAATTTCAGGATGGTGTAGGGTGTTGTTATATTTTGAAGGGTTTTGTTCATGTATTTGTTTACTAGTTGTATGAATTGTTCCTTGATATGAATTTCTCTTTCTTTGAACCATGGTTCTATTTCATGCTTGAAGTATTTGCATTTTTTCTCCATCTTTCTGGTGATGCCCTGTTGTGCTTTCCAAGATTGAAAGTCTTTGCATCTTTCCTTCCATAGCTTTTGTAGATAGTTGTAATGTCTTTTTTGATGTCTAAGTAACAGTTATGTCTGAGTCATCTTTCTGTAATTGCCTTTTTGATGATTTGTGTTATTTTTTTGAGAAAGATTTCTGTGATTGTACACCTCAGATATCTCTCATAGTGCAGGAATGTTTTTTTCCTCAGTTTTTCTATCCATTGTGAGGTGTTATTTTTGATCAAGTGCTTTGTAATGTTTGTAACAATGGTATTAATGTGTTGTTTTGTTATTGCCTTTTATATTATGCAAATAAACAGGTATATGTTTGTTTCTCTTTTTTCACATTTGATGCACAAATCATCTTTATAAATTGAGAATGCTCTGTAATATACAGTAGTTTGGTTTTCATAAGGAGTTCTTTATTTAATAAGCTTAAAAGAAATTTTCTTTGTTGTTGATCCTTCCAATTTGTTATGTATTTGCTCATTTTGATAATCTGAAAATATTTGAAAATAATAGGTCAGCAGATTTTCTAGATTAGATAGTTATCAAAATTGTTTCTGATTTTATTCAAGAGTTTTGACTTAGTTAAATAGACTGTTTATATAATTTTCTTTATTGTTTTCTTGATTGGTACTTCTAAGTCTTATTTATTCTATTATATAGAGAAGTATATCTCTTTTAAAGTTTCAGTTTTAAGTGTGATGTTTTTTGTATTGAACCCCATCCTTATTGTTAACCAATATTTGCTAATTGGTCTATAAGTTCATTTGTATATCTTCTGAATATGCTTGAACTTTAATCAGCTCCAACTTAATACTTTTTTCCTTAATATATTTCTTTAATTAGTTGTAAGATATTTGAGTTTTTCTGCTTTTTGAAATATTATGTAGTGATAAGCTTATTGATTTTCTGAATACTGTTAATAGCTGCCATTATTTTGTATATATTTATACTTTACTATAGTAAGGAAGTATATTGCTATAAAAATGACTATTAGTTTAGCTATAATTAAGAAAGAAAATTTTTTGACTTGTTCTTGAAAGTTAAAACACCTATTGTTATTGATCATTACTATCTATTTTACTTTTATATAGTACTATACATTGTGTCAATATATGTAACCATCTGTATAGATTTCAAAGTGTATATAGTTTTGAAGTTTTTTACCAATATATAAGAGTTTCTTAATAATTAATTTATCTGTATTATAGAGATTATATATATAGTTCTGAAGGGAATCTTCTGTGAAACTTGAAATTTTTGTATTTTGATCATTTTCAGTATATAGTAGATATATTAATACTGTCAGGTCTAGTAAAAGAGAGTTTAATACTATCTAGTTTTTGAAATTTAGCTTTTTATTAGTTTAATATTATTGTGATAAAATTCTACTATAATGTACTGGAATTTATATTATTGTTATCTTGTACTTTAAAGTTATAGTTAACTATTGCTATTGAATTAATTGATATTGCAATCTAAACATTTGAAAAGTAAACTATATTTTTTATTTTATTATATAATTAATTATTTTTATAATGGTTACTGGGAACTCAAATCCAGATCTTTTTTATATGAATTATTTTTAACTAAGGTTGTATATATTTTTAAACAAAATCATATATACAGTATGTTTGAAGTAAACCTATCTATATAATTAGTTATATACAGTATATTCTACTTATATATATAAGTTCTACTTCTTTTTAAGAAAGAATATGTATTTTCTTTTTAATTATTCTAAGATTAGTTTTATTAAAAATAATCCAGTTATCAGGTTATTAAATTTTTTTATCTTGAACTTCTTTAATTTTTCAAGTTCTTTGAAGTAATCTATAGATTTCTCTTCACATCAAGGCCTCTTGATAGTCAAGTTTGTGAAACCTGATATAATATATACTTGAATTCTTAATATATTAAAAGCTGTTTATTTGATTTTGAACTTTATAAATTTTCTTTAGAGGCATACTACTAGTTTAATGTTTATTCTTCTTATTACTTTTTTCTAATAATATGACTATTTCAAGAATAATTCTACCTAATTTCAGATATTCAGTCTTATTATAATTCATGTATGAACTGATTTATGCTATTTTAAAATTCCAGTTAATTAATAATAAATAACTATACTTAGAAACATCAGTTATATACAGTTATGCCAATAGATACAGATCACCATTTGCTTTTCAAAAATTGCACCCTAAAGGATTTGATCTTAATTTTTGTAATATGATCTATAAAGTGTTAACCACTATACTATAGATCTATAGGTTTTATTACTATATCAATAATTATAAGTGTAAAATCATAATTATATTTATTTATTTATTTCTGTTATTGACCTGTAGATCAATAGTACAGTAAGTATACTTCTAGGTCTCTATCAGCAAGTTACTGATTCAATCCCACCCAAGAATAATTTTAAATATAGATTATATTGTACAAGATATATGCTATTCCGACATATATATACTTATATATAATTAATTTATAGAAACTTGCTGTCTGATTATAATATAATAAATTAGGTCACACAGGTTTTGGTCAGTTTTAATACTAGGAAAAAAAAAGAACATTCTTACAATCCAGAATATATAAAGATATCAAGATAGTCAGAAAGAACTTTAATTGGTCCAAGCTTTTAACAGAAATATGAACATTTGTCTATTCTTGAAAAACACACTCATGGAAGATATAAAAGACTTTAATCATTTGTACTAGTTAAAACTAGAAACAAAGAATTAATAAGAGATCTTAAGGAATCATGAAATCAACAGTTATTAAAGAGAATATTTGGATGTATAGGCTGATAATTGGTATTAACATCACAATAAAAACTGTAGTGAATAGATATGTTTAATAGAGATCTAAGGCCTTGCTTGATCAGGAAATGTATTTGTAGACTATACCTGAAGAGTAATTAAAAATAGTTACAAATAAAGACTATATATAATCTACAAAGTATACTATTAAACTACCTAGATATCAATATATAACTACTGTACTTGTAAAAATCAAGGTTCAAACTAGCTTTCTAAGGACCGAACATGATAAAAGATTGATCATAATATCCATAATTATTCAAAAGTAACAAGCACATACTAAGGAATACATATCAAAAAGCTTCTTGAATGAAAATAGAAGTCTGATAATAGATTCTTGGAATGATATAGGTCTGGGTAGAGCAGAAAAAATCGACTAAAAATGGTATTACTACTGTATATGGTAAAATTGATATATTTGATAGGAATAAATAGTTAAATATAGGTTATATGAATAGCTCATATAATTGAAAAATATATTATTAAATATTTCAATAAAAGTTTTGCTCCTGTCAGTTGGACATTTAAAAAAATTTTTTTTTATTTCTATTATTAAAAATATTTTATTAATATATTTTTTATTTTATTTATTTATTTTAATTCAAATTATGTTACCATAACATATTTTTATTGGGATATTAAATAAATATTTACAATATTACATGGATATTTATATAACAATTAACTCATTTTTTTAAACTTTTTATCAGGCTAGATATATATACTTTATTAAATATTTATATATTTTATATTATAAAATGTTTTACTAAAGTTAAATTTCTATCTAACTCATCTATTTTTTATTTATATTTTTCTAAAACTCTAAGTACAATTTTGGAAGTAATTTATTGTTTTATTAGTAATTCAGTTAAAAACTCTTTTAACTACTAATATTATTACTTACAAATCATTACTATAGATTATTATAAAAGATTCTAACTGGACTTAAAACTCTATTTACTTTATTTTATATCTAACATCTTTTGTTAAAATCTTTTTTAGACTTTTGTCTTTTAAGTTTTCTTTTTCGGATAATAATTTTCTTTCTATTAGAAATAAGATTTCTTAGTTTGAAGGTCTTTAATATCTTTTATATAGTTTTTTTTACAAATTTCTTGTATTTATTCTTATTCAATCATTTTTTTATACTTTTAGTTTTAAATTTTTTTTCAGGCTTGATTACATGTTCTTTTTTATCTCTTTAATATCTATTTTTTTTTTATTTATTTTCTATAATATTTTAGATTTATTATTTTTTAAACAAGATTATTTCTTATAAAACTATTGTTAAAATTTAAAATATTTTGACTAGTTTTTAAAATATGTTCTATTAATCTAGAAATTTACTTATTTAACTCTCCTAGTCTTTTTAATAACTTA